AAGTTTGGACAGTGGTCCCCAGAACCAGAACTGCTTCTGTGGTCTACCTGCAGGCAGAAGCCGGGTTGCAGGCATGTAGGCATCTTATTGAGAAGTGACAGGAAGATGAGGAAGAGGCAGCAGGGGCAGATTATCCTTTCTAGAGCTTGGGGAGAGGAAGGGGACAGGGTGGAACAGCATTCACTCATGCACAACGCACACAGGATGTGCACGTGCTGACTGAGAGCACACGGGAGTTGCTGGTGGTTGCTCGAGGGGAAAGCCAGGTCAAAGGGAAGATTTTGACATTTCAAATGTCAAAAATTTGATCATGTTTATAGACTGAGGAATGGAAGCTGATGGTGAGGGAGAGATTAAATGCCTGTCAGAGGAGATGATTAATGGTCCTCCCCTGGAGTGGCACAGACTTGGTGGGAACTTCCTCAAAGGCAGTACAGAGGTGAGGGTGAGCCTAGGACCCTGTGGGTAGGCGGCGTTCTGAGTTACTAGCTAGAGGGAGAAACAGGACCAGAACTCAGAGGACAAAGCCTAATGCTCCTGGTTAACCAGCGAAGCAATCTGAGGTTTCATCAAGCTGTGTAAGAATGGCGCGAGGCGTCTAGAGACTGAGAAATAGTCAGCAACCAGAAGGTGGGTCAGATGGGGGCAATTCAGGAGCAAACCCGGGAATCACTGTGTTTTTTAACATGTGCTTTTTCTGTGCAAGCTGGAAAATTCCTGAGCTAGGGAACACTTCTTAAAGGTGGCAGATCCTGACAGAGAAGCTGGCTCTGTGCAGTACTATCAGACTAGCCTTAGAAAGGAGGTGTGGGCTGGCTGTCGTTAACACACGGATTTAAGAGAGATGAATGAGAGATGATTCTGGGAAACTTTGAAATAGAAAGGATGTAAGTTCAGTGAATGATCAGATGACTTTTAAAAATCTTTTCAGTAAATATGAGGAAAGGTTATTCGAGGAGAAGAGGGGGTAGGGTGGGGTTTAGGGATTGAGAAGAATGGAAAAGATTTGGAGTGATCTCTGAAAGGAACCAGCCAGAGGTGAATACAAGTTCTGCCAGGCAGTATTGGAAGATCAGCTGTAATTAGATCGTGTACATTTGTATGGAAATCAGTTGGCATCCTTAAGTGACTTTTACCAGCAATTCTCAGGCCGTGGAGAGTGGAAACATAGACAGAAGGCATTGAGGTTTGGCATGGCCTGGACTCTGCTAAAGCAAATGCACTTCAGATCTAAGGGCAGGGATGAGCTGGACGGGGGATTTTCTGGTGCCGATATGATGCAATTGAAATGACTAACCTTAAGGTATAGAGTGCAGAAGGAGGCAAATGTTGCTTAAAGGAAGTTAGTTGATAAACTAGGAAAATAGGGAGTTACTAAGAAACTAGCAGACACCGAAGAAATTAAAGATTATTTGAATGAGTGAATGGGATGGTTGAAAGGTCAGAGGACTGTGGCCAGAGGGGAGAATTTCAGAGTTGAAGATTTTAGAAGCAGAGCAAACACATTCTGGACAGAGATGAGGTTATGGCCATACTGCTGAGAACCTGAAACGAAGTGGAAGCAAAGGCCGTTGGTGTTGAGTGCAAGGAATGTGAAGCCAGAGTGGATATTGAAGGAATATAAACAAGGATGTTGAAGCTACTGAGGAGAAGCAATGTGCCCAAAGTAGGTAGAGAAACTGTTGATCAGAAGACAAAAGCCTCAGGGAAAATGGGAGACTATCTGGGGTTCTGGATGTTTGGAGAGCGTGGGCTGGAACTGAGTGGCGCTGCCTTAGAGGAGGAGAGCAGACGTAGAGATCAATAGGGACAAATAGTGGTCTGGGGGCAGTCTTGAAACCGAGAAAGGTGTTCTGTAAGGTGAGTTGTTGGAACAGTGGTCTCCACTTGAGATAACTGGGAAGGATGTGTCATATCGTATAAAAGTCAGGATTCATTTTATGCAAGAAGTAGAAGGAGCACTTGAGAATGTACGGAAGTTAAATCCCATTAAGACCCATATGATAGAGGTTACAGTATTTAATAGTCGCTAGAGGCCATGCCAGGCCTGGAGATGGGAAGTGGAGCTGGACTGAGATAAGCTCGTTGAAGGCTGATTTTGAATTCAGGCAGTAGGACAGTACTTATTAAGGACAAGGATGAAGGGTGGTGATGATGAAAGATAGAGGCACATAGTAATAGATATAAGCTAGGAGAGAGTAAGTGAAAGTTTTGTTATCAGTGGAGCATACGAAATCAAGCAGCCCCAGGTTTCTAATTAAAACTTTGGTGTGTCCAACTGGAATATCTGTTTGAAATGTTAGTGTGACCAACTGGAACCCTGGCATGACCAATTGGAATGGCTATTGGAAGTTTAGTGCGACCAATTAGAATATTACCCTTGTCAGCTGGAACATTGGTGTGACCAATTACAACCTGGCAGTGAAAACAGCTTCATGGATTTGGGCAACAATGGAAGTAGATTCTTAGCTTTCAAGAGAGATACATTCTGAGACTTTTTAAGTCCCATCAAGGCAGTATCTTGAATGCTGGTTAGTCAACATATCATCTTAAGATACTCAAGCGTTCAATAGAAGCTGTTTTTAACCATCATATCCCTCGGCCTTGGCATCTGATAGACATATAAAAACATATTTGTTGAATAAACTATCGAAGTCTCATAGAAGAATATTTTCTCAGTTCTCAGCACTCCAAAACAAATGTTATCTCATGGACCACCTGATTTGTAGAATTGTTCCTTCTCACCTTTGCTTTGGTAGCTGGGAAGCTGATGTACACATTATAGTCCATGTCTAGCTGTATGCATATGTACAACTTCAGGGTATGACTTTTATTCCAAGTATAACTCTGACTTCAACGTCTTTTCCTACCTGCTTTAGTTTTTATGATTTATTTTTTAACTTGAATTGTCTATTTTGCAAACTGCCTGAGATCATTTTTGGAATAATCAAGTTGATGAGAAGATGGAGAGATAAACATAGAATTATGAGGTGGTAGACACAGAGAGGGAGGTGGGGAAGAGGGTGAAGGAAGTAGGAGTGAGCAGGTAATATGGGGGAGGGTTACATCTTAAGATACTCGACCATCGTAGAGGTACCATCGTATTCACCCAGGAAAGAACCCTTTAAGGCCTTTTATGTTCTGCAGAGCCTTAATACCAGGCCCTGGTAGATAGTTTGTGTGTACTCAACAATATCTTGTCAATTCGAGTGGGTATTTCCTGGGCTCAATGAATATTTGTTGGCAGCCTTTTTTCAGCATGTTTTTTCATTTCCCTTAAAATTCTTGGACTTCTTCCTCTGTTTTGGAAACAGTGTGACACATTAGACAGAAATAAGTTTTGCAGTCAGCAGACCTTGGTTTGAAAACTAACTCTGCTGTTGTTTGACATATGTCCTTGACCAAGACGGGTCAATGTCTGGACCTGTTTCCTCATCTGTAAAATTGGGATGATATTTACTGTCCAATCCCTGGGAGGGTTTATGGAAAGGATGTATATAAAATAGCCAAGAGTGTCTGGCACAAAGGAGACACTCAGTGAATCTGTGTCCCCAAGCTCCCCAATTACATTGGACGCACTTATTGGGCTGACTCCTCACGACCAAGTAATTCACAGTTCTGGCATGGCAGTGCTGCTGCCTCTGCCCTGCAAGCCAGCTTTAAGTCTGGCTGGCCCAGGAAGAGCCAGACTTCTCGGCCCAGTGCTCAGTGAGCTCATTTTTCTGCTTTGGCTTCTAGATACTCATCCCCTCAGATTCAGTTTGACAGTAGCAGATGGACAGTTTGTAGCCTGGTTTTCTGAGGTACTAAGGGCCTTTTGGCCCAAGGCATCACATATTCCAAGTTAAAAATCTCTCCTGTGTAGTTGGTTTATGATCTGAGGACAGTTCAAAATACGTGAAATCACAGCTATTGGGTTATAACAGTGTGCAGGTCATCATTCTTGAACTAGGGTTGGGCTGCCCAAGATGTTACAGAATGCTCTGACCATGGCAGGACATTGTGTCTTTTCCATCTGTTCATTTGGCCTGTTGCTATCCTAGTTGCCATATTATAGTCTCCTTGCTAGGACCTGTGTCCTCAATGTCATTCATATACTAGGATTTTGAACCTCAAGGAATATTGCTTTTTGCCAGTGGAGAAACATGTTGCTGCTGGACTTTTGGAAATGCTCCTGTTTTTTGAGGTTCTTCATAGCCTTAATTCCTAGTAGTTCTTAGCAGGCGGTTTGCCTATCACCTTTGTTTTTTGCCTTATTTATGCTTGTTAAGTGTATGTATTCATGGCAAGTTGTTGTCTGCTACTGTTCTACTAATGGCAGGATTAGTAACCTCTCACTGGAAGTCCTCACAATAAGGAAAGAACGGCCTTCTTACTTACATCCCAGAGTGGCCACATTGTAATTTTGGTACAGCTCAGGAAAGATCGTCTCACATAATAAGATTCTAATATAATCATTCAATAAATATTCACTGAACTTCCACTGGACATGCTCGCTCCCTTCTAGGCTCATTGCAACGAGGCCTTACAATGAGGCGCATTGAAGACTGTGCTGAACATTGAGCTCAGGAGGTGATATGGAAATTTGGGTTTTGAAAAATATATTACCTAAGCTTTTTTGTTTTGCTTGTTTTAGTGGAGAAGGACCTACTGCTTTGCCTTAAATAATAGAGGTGAAGAAATTTAGTTCTTCAAGCATATGCTTTTCTTTTTCTCTAATAATAATGAGTAATGGTTTCTATGGGCAAATGTGTTTTTTTTGAAAAATGTAGCTCACATTGTCTCTCGGAATGTAGTGGGCCGTGGCAGGGGCTGTGCTGTCCCTGAGTGACTGCTTATCATCCCAGGCCTATCCCTAACAGGCCCGCGGCTCATATGCAGCAGTCTCAATTCTGTGTTATCCAACACACAGCTTAGAGATTGCCTTATGTGCTTATGGAGCTGGAGTTATCCTTGTTGCCATGGAAGTTTATGATTTTGAGATCTGGTTTTGCCTGCAGGAGCTGCTAAGTCGCACATCTCTTGAGACTCAGAAGCTCGATCTGATGGCCGAGGTGTCTGAGCTGAAGCTCAAGCTGGTCGGCATGGAGAAGGAGCAGAGAGAGCACGAGGACAAGCAGAGAAAAGCCGAGGTGAGCGCGACACACCGAAACCCAGGAGGACCCAGGCTGTCCTGAGCTCAGACCAGGGGAGGCTAGCCTGATGTGGCTCAGACCCTCTGATCCACCCCGAGCCTGGCAGCTACTGGGCGCCAAAAACTTCTATGCACGAGACACGATGGACCGTTAATACCAAGTTATCAGGTTTTGCTGTAGCTGCAAATTTCAGCAATGCCCAAACCACCCGGTTTTGGCTCTCAGGCTTTATCCTTCCTAAAGCTGCTGACAAGACTAGAAAGGGAAGCAGTAGTGGGGAAGGATCAGATAAGACATGGAGGGACACAAGATGTCTTCTATGAAAGCCAAGGTAATGACCACGACGAAGTCAGCTGCCCAGTAGGCCACAGTCACTGAATCCAAGGAGCCTGATGTGCATCTCACTGACTCAGATGGAAACCTTAGGTTTTGTGTTTCTTTTCTCCTGATGGGTCATACGGGTCATGGGTTTCCTGGGTTTGTTTTTGTTTGTTTTTTTCCCAGGCTCCATAAGCCATCGGCTAGAGTATGCTAGGCTCCATAAACATTTAGAGAATTTTAGACGCTGAGCTCCTTTAGTTGAGAGAGAACATCCTGTTTTAATGTTAGATGATACCTTCTGTGTGCCTCTACCTATAAGTCCCTATATTCGCATCTGGCAACGCACGGTGTAGAAACACCTTGCCTCAATTACTGACCTAACTGCTTAATAGTTTTATGGACTTCAGCAAGTTAGCTACTTAATCACTCTGAAATTCAATTTTTTTTTTAAAGATTTTATTGGGGAATTGGGGTATGGGAACAGTGCTGGGGAATTGGGGGAAGGGGAACAGACAAGTTGCTGTTGTTTTTGTTCTTCAGTCTAGTTGTGGAGGATGTCGCTTCACTGGCCCAAGCTGGCACTATCATTGCGCTGTTCCCGGGTGAGGCAGATCAGTCTCTGGCCTCTGGACGGCCGCTCACGGCAGCTGCTGGCCGCTCACGCTGGCTGCTGGCTACATACGGTAGCCCATGGCAACCCACTGCCACAGGGGCTGCAGCCTACGCCGTCACTGGCAACTCACGGCAGCCCAGCTCCAGGTTGAGCTGTTGTTCTGCATCTTAGCTGTAGAGGGCAGTGTCACTGGCCCTCATATGTGGGATCCAAACCGGGGTCCTCTGGATCCCAAGCCAGTTCCTAACCAACGTGCCACTCTGCCGGCCCTGAAATTCAATTTCTTTATCTGTAAAATGGATAACTGTGTGAAGTCCAAATAAAATCACGAAAGTAACATCCCTGTCATAGTCTCTTGCATTTTGTAGGTAAGTGGTTTTTCTTCATCCCCTTTTTCCATTTAGGCATCCCCAAAATCTAAAGATAGATATTGTGCCTTGCTATTAAGTGCCAATGTGATTGTGCACTGAAACCTGTCGTATTTCTGTGTTTGCTGGGTAAACACTGGTGCTTGAGACTCTTCTAATATGTGGGGGGCATATTCCTTGTATTGCTTTTGAGAACATGCTCATTAGTAAGAAGAATAGTTGCCAAAAGAAGATCTCTCCATTAAGCTGAGGACAGTATCTTCTGGTGATTACGAGCACAGGCCTCTGAATCAGATCTCCTGGCTGTAATCCAAGCTCAGCTACTCAGCAGCTTTATGATGTTAGACAAGTAATTTAACCTTCTGAACCTCTGTTTCTTCTTCTGTAAAATGGAGGTAGTAGAATGCACTTTCTATTTCCTGGGTTGTTCTGAACAGGAGATGAGATAATGTCCGTACAGCCCTTAGCAGAGCGCTGGACACATAGTGATAGCCAGCTTTTATCGATCACTGATTGATCATGTTGTTAAACATGCTGGAAATGGAAATGTAGGCTTAGATACATTATTTATATATGGCAGAGGTCACACAGGCTGAAAGCTAATCTGTATGAAGTGTTAGTTGAATAGACTGCTTCTTAAATGTTCACAGAGAAGCAACAGAATTTTCTCCAGATTTAGAGTTAATCTTACCAATGTTTCAAGATGCGTGATTCCATGTGAATATACATTAGGGTTTGGGGGAAAGAGTTTAAAAATCGAATAGTACTAGATCCAGGTGACCTCACAATGTCATTAGAAACCAGCCTTAGTGTATCATTTGGTTCTATTTTAGCCTTATTCTCAGGAAGGCTCTCCCCATGTGTTGACAGAGATGGCCGTCAGCAGCTCGACCAGCCTGGCAACCCCCGCAGAGAGAGAGAGATTTTCTTTCTCAAAGTTTCCAGAGAAAGCCCCAGGATTGTGTCTTATCACAATTTGGGTCACATGCCTGATTCGGAACCAGCCACTGTCGGGAGCGTGTACCCACGCGTGGGTGTGTGTGCGCGCGAGTCAGTCCATCTGTGGGAGCACGCAGAGTTAGTACCAAGCCGGGGTCACTCAGCTCCTTTCTAGAAGACTGGAAGGAAGGGAAGCTGTGACTTCTGGGCCAGGAATAGCTAAGGCAGTCATTTTACTGTTTGCTTTATTTCTTTCTTTTCTCAAGGACTGTTTTTCAATCTGAGTTTTTGTTTTTGTTTTCCAATCTGAGTTTTTGTTTTTGTTTTCCACTAGGCTATTCATTTCTGAGGTAACATAGACCCTGAGTTGCTGGCGTCAGTTCTATCAGATAACAGCCCTTCCCAGTTGCTAGTACAAACATTAAGTTTCCACGTGGAGGAATTTTTTAGGCTGTTCAAACCTGTGATAGTCAGCGAACAGCCACATGACCTCAAACACAATTTCTCATTCTTGTAATTGGACATAATCTTGGCTGGTATGCCCAAAACCTCCACTACTGTTTGTAACTGTCTGCAGTACCAGAGGCTTGAAAACATGAAGAGTGCTGCTTAAGCTGCACTATTGTCATCTGCATGGTGATGTTTATTTGAGTGAGACATTTAGCTAGCTGAGGTCACCAGAGGTTGTAGTTTCATGAGTAAAAGGAATGCAGCTTTCCATCCTGGACTGCTGCTGTTTTTTCCAGTGAATGTATTTAGCCTGAGGCCTGATTACTTGTGGTTTGGAAAAGGCAGGGACTTTGTTTTTTTCAGGTAGCCAGATCTGTAGTAAACTTCCTTCATGTAGCTCGGGCTTTAATCCTCAAATTCCATTTTATGTTTCAATGAAAAAAACAAAGGGATGCTGTTGATGAGAGCATTGCAGACTGCTCTTTCTGTCTGGTTCTGATCTCACCCTAAGCCAGTATCTGCTGTCTGCAGTTGTAGAAGTGATTACAGATGGTTGTAAAACCTAAGGACTGTGAGGGGCAGGTTTCTTGTCAAATGTAGAGAATTCTGACAACCAGCCTTGCTCAGGAGTTGGTCAGTCGCGGCCTAAATGAGATGTGGGTGATTACTGAGTTTCCTATATTGACTTTTTCTTATCAACCTTTTGCAGTGGTTCTGGGTCATTTTGGGGAACCTAAGTTTGGATCAATTAGATTTGGTCCTGAAAAGCAAACTGCAGGAGAGTGATTGACATGGAAAGTAAATACCAGAATTAGGAGGATAGAACATGAAAGAGAGATCCAGAAACAAAGGAAAAAGCCCTGGGTGGCTCACCATGTCAAAGCCATGTCCCTCAGAGGGATCTTCCTTAGAGAAGGGAGGCTGGCTTCTCTAAGCACTGGGGGTGCAAGGAGGCCTGTCGCTGAATCCCTGGTGGGATCCAAAGGATTTTGCAAGAAGCAGCCTGTAGAGAGGGGGCACAGGGATCCCGCATGTGCTGGGAAGTGAAGGCAGCCCAACTGATCAGGGGTGTGCACAAGCATGTAGAGAACTAGAAAGAATCTTTAGGATTTCCTGGCAGACAGTGGCATGTCTGACAGCACAAGTGGTGGTGTCATTCCTTCTTTCTTCCTATGGTTAGGACCTTGGAAGGGAGGGATTCTGGTTTTTGAGCTGGGCATCCAGAGTGATGGACTTGGAGTACTGAGCAAGGGCTGGGAAGACTGTGTTTGCTCAGAGAAGAGCTGGCCTGACTAGGAGAGTTTTATTTTTCTTGTTTTTATTTTATGTTATTTTGTTTACTTATTTTTATTAGCATAGAAAATATTCTCCAACAATTCAAAACTCAAGAGTTCAAGAGGTATATACAGCAGGAAGCCTCCTTCCATGCCTGTCCTTCAGCCAACAGTCAGGAGCCAATGTCATCAGTTTGTTCCTTAACCTTTTAGTTATTTTATGCATGGACAAGCACATTATTCGGATATCTGTCTATATCTACCTATAAATGTATACGCACACAAACGTTTTTGCCCTCATTAAGAAAACTTCCTCATTCATATTTATGCCTGTATATGACTCCACTATCTGCCTGTGCCCTCATTTATTTAACGAGTTCTCTTTTGATGGATATTTGTTTTCAAGTATTTGCTATTACAAATAATGCTTGTACATGTGTGAGGATATTGACATGGAATTGATAGGTCGAAGTGTACACACACTTGAAATTTTGACAGATATTTCCAAATTGCCCTATAGAGAAGATATATTCTCACCTGTGATGTATAAGCGTGCCAGGACAGTATTAAACTGAGCACAAAGGAATAGGGAGAGAAAGAACCATTGTGAACAAGTTTAACAGGTAGGATGGGGTGGGGAAAGCTATGATTATGGGAGAAGCCCAGTAGTTTCACAAAGGAAAGAACCGTAAAAAAGAACTTTGATGGTTGGCAAAGCAGGAGTCAATGAGCTGAGATTACAGCACAGAACAACAATTAGAACCTCATAAATGTCACTTGGACTTAATGATGTGGGACCCAGGAAAGGAACACAGGTATAAAAGGCCAGATCTGCCCTATGGAAGAGAAACAGACCTATTAAAAGAGGAGATGCGTAGTCCCGGAGATAAAGAATTATAAAAATAAGTTGAAATGCCATGATAGATATACTGGAAAACACCACCACCACATGGATAGGGAGAATTAAAGAAGAGTGTGCCAGCAGTGTTGGGGTATATACCACGTGGTCACACTGAGCAGAGGAGGGCAATA